GCACTTGAAATACTATATCAAGAGCCAAAGAGGAGATGGCTAGTCCTAAATGGAAGGGATTTCAATCCCATCCAGAGAAATCAAAATTAAAGAGTGAAAACCAATTTTTTTAAAAGTCCTCTTGTATATAGTATTTGAAAATTGCTGCCAGATATCCCCCTTTCCTTTCCCTTGTGTTTTTGAATTAATATTAAGACAGCATAATTAGATAGTCAAGGTCCGGGTAAGGGGCAAATTTCAAGCCTTGCTGTTTGGTTATATACATATATAAAATGTATGCATGCTATTTCCAATGAATAATTATATTTCCAAATAATATCTGATCGCCACTGATTAAAATTGGGCATTCCTGCTTTAAACACCAAGCAAAATCAAGCACCTATAGTGAAAACTTCGTCATTCTGCTTTCTCCATGATCTAAAGCCAAACATACAGAGCAACTCTATTTCAGGGTGAAAGTAGTTCAGTTCAGATACCAGTTAAGTCCTGAAACTCTTCTCTGTAAGAACTGCAAGCTCTTAGTGACTGAATTATGTCATCTCCTCTATATCATGAACTGAACTGACATCTACAAAAGCAACCTGCTTGCCTCTGGTCCCAGAACTGACAGACAGAGCTTTACACAAGAAGTCACAGAGCCTCATCCCAAATTATTCTTTTCCAGTTTGCACAGTCAGCACTTAGGAGCCTCATAGCTCAGTTAGGAAGGTGACTGGCAACAGAATGGGAGGAGTTGGGTTTGAGGGCAGTGGGTCTCCACTTATTATTTACACATTTGGCATGGCTCAGAGACCCATCTAGCTCATGGCTGTGGCACAGATAATTTTTCTCCTGCATTAGGGTTCTCTGATAACCCCAAAGCAGGCAGAAGAGCCTGTTGGTGTTATAGCTCTTCTGGGAAGGATGGAAGTACAGGACTCCTCTCCAGCCTGCTTTAGGATTAGCAAAGAATCCTAATGAAACAGAATAGCATGCACATGCCACAGCCCTTCCCAATCTGGTTGTATAGCAGGCCCTCAGGACAGTTTTACCTGGCACAGTGGCAGTGGCACCCAGTTGACAACCACTGAGGTAAGTTGAGTGCAACAGTGGCTCTCAACTGGGGTTGCTCCCACATTCAAAGCAGTGGGGGAGGACTGCCATAACCCTGAAAAGGTTGAGAATTACTGATCTAGAAAATGATGCTGAGATTAATGGATGCTTATATTTAACTAGATCCAACTCCCCTTTTCACCTTAAAACTCCAAACCACTATCAAATCATTTCCATCTGAACTACAAGAAAAACTACAGAACTTGATCCTCCCCACTACCCAACCCAGAGACTTTTTACATGCTCCCTAAAATCCACAAACAAGGGAACCTAGGCAGACCTATAATATCCAACCATGGAACCCTAACTGAGGTAATATCAGGTTTTGTTGAATCCATCCTAAAACCTCTCATCACCCAAAGAGCCAGTTTTGTCCAAGACACAACAGACTATCTATGAAAACTTAAAAATACAAGCCACCTTCCAATCACCACCCTGCTAGCCACCATAGGTGTCACCAGTTTATATACCAAGATCCCACAACAGGATGGCATCCAAGCCTGTCTTACATATTTACAAAAGCAAGTTTACAACTCAAGAGTACAGACCAAAAGACATTACTAAATGTATACACGTCATCCTCACACACAACAATTTCACTTTCAATAACCAACATTTCCTCCAGACCATGGGCAAAGCTATGGGCACCAAAATAGTCCCACGATATGCCAACCTGGTTATGGGCCACCTGGAAAAAGAATTCTTCAAGAACTAGACCATCAAACTTGTGCTATGCTTAAGATATATAGCTGACATCTTCATCATTTGGAGCAAAAAACCTTCAAATTCTGATTGATTTCCAACACAAATTCAATAATCATCAACCCTCCATCAGAATACTCCGGCACCAACATTTCCTTTTTAGACACTATGATCAATATACAAGAAACCCATGGACCAATATACATATCTGTACAGAACCAGCAATCACCCTAAACATACCAAGAAAACTGTAATATACAGCCATGCCCTCCGATATCACCAAATTTGTACAGAGAACACCCGCAATCATCACCTCACAAAACTTAAAAGGGCTTTCACTCAACAAGGACACTCCTCCAAAGAGATAGATCGCACTTTTGAAACAGCCACCAGGATACCACGTGAAGAATTGCTACAGTACAAAAACAAAATCTTCCTATGGCCCAAAACACCGAATGGATCCAGACCATGCCATGACAAGAAATGTAAAACCTGCCAACACATCTCCACCACTCCCATGATAACTACACCCCACAAAAGAATCATCACCATTCCTGGATCTTACACCTGCACCTCCGTAAATGTAATCTCTCTCATCCAGTGCACTAAATGCCCTGATGGAAAATATGTAGGAGAAACCCAAAAACAACTGTGTACCAGAATGAATGCACATAAAAAATCTATCAAAGAAATATGCCCAATTACCTGTGGGTACATACTTCTTACAAGGCAACCACTCTGTCTAATCACTCAGTTCTAACCCTCAAAGGAAATTTACAAAACACATTTCATAGATGAGCCTACGAACTTCACTTCATCAATCTATTGGATACCAAAAATCATGGATTAAATATAGACATTAGATTTATGGCACAGTATAATCTACCTGCCATCCAATAACCGCAGGTAACCTGTCTGCATTTTACCAGCTACACTCTGTCACCAGGTCAACTTTCCCCCTCCCCCCGCACCTGTCTCACATCTATTGTCTCCCATGGCCTCTGATCCTCACTGCCACACATTTGCACATTCACAGACCTGCATTTTGTATACTGGCTTGCATCTATTCCATCCAGAACACAAGACAACAGCCCCTCCCTATACCTGAAGAAGGGCATTTGTACCAAAAAGCTTTCAAAGAACAATTTTTCCAACTATTTAGCTGGTCTAATAAAAGATATATCACATTTAGACAAAGAACCTTGTCTGCCTATATTTAACTACTGCATTTAGAAAAAACTGAAGGCACTATCTATAGCTAGGTTTCTCTAATGGAACTACCTGAGGAACAGTATATGGTAGACCACTCAGCTGAGTAGTTAAACAGTGTGCATTAGCATAGCTTCCAATAGCAATTGGATATGCTCCATTAGATAAAAATAACATGCCAGTGTTATAGAGGAAGAATAACTTAAACTCTGATTGTAGGTGTGTTTGTTGGTGTCTAAGCCAAATAAAATGCAACTGTCCCCTTTCCCAGAACTGAAGAGAAACCATGTTTCAGTTCAGTCTAAAATCACAGCAGGGGGAAGCATAGCAGCCTACCAACACAGTCTACATGCCAAGTCCTGTTCCTTGATCGGGAGCATGAACAAGAGGCTGAAGGTTGGCCTGCTAGCCAGCTTTGACTATTTCAGAGTTCACTGTGGTACAGCATCTGCAATTAGATCCCTTACATCCATATATTCTAACACTTAGTAACATCTGACATATTTCACTATCTACCTGTACAAGAAAATGAAAACTGCTGTAATAAATTATCATAGTATCATAGTGCTTAGGGTTGGAAGGGACCTAAACAGATCATCAGGTCTGACCCCCTGCCCCGGGCAGGAACGGGTGCCGGGATCGTATCACCCCAGCCAAATATCTGTCCAGCCTCCTCTTAAAGACCCCCAAGGTAGGAGAGAGTACCACCTCACTTGGAAGTCCCAGAGCCTGGCAGCCCTAACTGTAAAGTAATGTCTCCTGATTTTCAGCCTAAACCTTCTCTCTAACAATTTGTGGCCATTATTCCTAGTAACCTTGGGTGGTGCCCTAGCTCCATCTCTGCCTTGGCCTTCCCAACAGCCTCCCTGCAATCATGCCAACGGAGGTGTAGTCCTCCTTGGTGATAGCCCCTTGCTTCCATTGTTTGTATGCCTGCATGCTAACTATTAGTGAATGTTAATTAGCTGACATACCAATCACTGTAGGATTTAAAAAGATATATCTATTAGCCCAGCTCAAACCTAGCTATGATGCCAGTATACAAACATTATGGATAACTGGACACTCCCTAGACGCAGTGTCAGCATCATCCACAATATTTGGTTTAGAATTTCTCCTATTGAAAACAGTAGTCTCTGTGCAAAAAAAGTGTTGATACAATTTACAGACCATATGCCCAAGGCACTTGAGAGGTTGGTAGCAGAACTGGGCAGCAAACCAAATTTTCTTAAGTCTAGGCTAGTGCCTCAGCTACAACACAATCCTGCATAGGGCTTTGCATTTTGGATGCATCTTCCAGGGCATATGTTTAATCAATATAATTGCTGATCATGTATGCAGAAGTCTAGATGGACACACTTTCAAACAGATTAAATAAATGCAAAATCTTTATTATTTGGAGCCTGGAAAAAATAAGAAAATGAGACCTAATTTATTTTAATCTGTGGATTGGAAAAGAAACAACAAATGAGAAAAACAGTCATTAACCAAGACAAAACACTGCCAGTGGACTGGAGATACGCCACTCACAGAACATCATACACAAGTGATCCAGTTTCATAAATATATGTTAGATAACTCATGGAAGTGACTTGAAAGCTGACAGAAAGGGAAGACTTTCTAATTAAACACCTAAAATCCCAAACCCTTATCACTTACTAATATAATTGCAACTATTCAAATAAGGGAAAAGCAGGAGTAATCTCCTACCAGTTTTCATTTTTTAAATAAAATACAAATAAAATAAAAGCAAAACTGTTTGCAAATATATCATTTAAAAATGTTTTTTAATGTAGACCAAAATCTCAGTTTTACATGCAACATCAAGAATTATAAGATAGAAGTAACAACTGCTATAGAAGCTATATGTAATGTTGCTTTTCAATTTAATCACTCAGAACTGGTGCCTCAACAAATTACAGGTGTCTATATGTAAGACTGCATTAAACCCAACCTGACCTCCAGAGAAAACAAAAAACAGTTATACAAATAATTACCTTGCTGTCTCTGTAGGCTCTGATGCTGAAGGGATCTATACTATTGATGGACGTCTTCTCCTAACCTAAAAAGGAGAAGGGGGAAAAAAAATCACAGTTCCAAGCATGTGAATGCAATTAATAATGGCACAGCAGGGGAAAAAGCAAAATAATTATTCATGTTCTTATCGTTTTTTCAATTTAGAAGGCCACCCAGAGAAAAGGTATTTTTAGTAAACAACATTTCCTATTATGTGCTATTAGCTGCATGCTGGAGCATTAAAGGATCAAGTGAAAAAAATGAAAAGTAGATTCCCCTTCTCACTGTTTCCTTTTTTTACTTATTTTTTTGCATTTTGTATCTTGGATAAATAAGTAAGGCGGATCAGTCTGACTTTAATTATCTTGCTCTTGCAGTGATATGGACTCCACAAGCCAAAATAAAACTTGGTCTTCCTGGAAGACAATTTAGGCTAGCTCAGAACCATGCAGCCACACTGTCTTCAAACTGTGCTTTCAGTGACACCTGTGAAACCTCACCACCTTCCTAGGGTACCTGTGTGGAGCCTAAAAAGCAATGCTGCTTATTAGGTACCTAAAGTAAAAGAATCTAAGCCCTTTCCTAGGTGAGAAAGTTGTACCAATTTAAATAAATTGGTTTAGAAACTGACTTAGCTACATTCATGTAGCCCCCTTCTATGGAAGGTATCTTACACTGATTAATTAGAAGTTAAAAGTGTCCACACAAGGGACTGCACCAGTTTTAATTAAATCATTTACTAAACTCATTTCATTACATTAGTGCAACTTTCTCTCATACACAAGGCTTAGCTTTTTGGCCCGGAAGAGTTACTGAAAAATTAAAAAGCAGATTCCTAAAAAACCCAGAAATTACTCATTGTACCAAAAGACCAGATTAGCAAGGAAGGGGCCATTTTTACACCATCAAATATTCAGAGTTGAATCACAATTTTAAAACAACTTGGGCATAATATCAGACAAGGCACTTTTTTAGACTTTAAGAGGATATACTCATACAGTATTTTTCTTTCGATACAAGTCTAAAGTGCAGTTAAACTTTTCACACCCAAAGGAAAGAATTCTCGCATAAGTACTAGGGGTGTGCGAAAAGGGCTATATTCAGTTTGGATTCAGATTCAGCCTGAATCAGGGGACAGTGATTCAATTAGTTGATTTGGATCACTGTCCCAATTCAATTTGGCTGAATCCAAATCTGAAGATTCGATGCTGATTTGGAGAATCAGCGATTTGGCCATAGACACAGCTTTAAATATTTTTTCTACATACCTCAAGGTACCAGGTGCGCTGCCCTCCCCACCAAGCGCTCCTGTGGCATGCTCCATCCGCCCTACCATCTCAGCATTCACAAGCTGCCTGGTACCTTGAGGTATGTAGAAAAAACAATTAAAGCTGTGTCTATGTCCAAATCATCGAATCTCTCTGAATCGATTTGGAGGATTCTGATTTGATTTGGAAAAATTAAAGGGTCTCCTGATTTGATTTGAATTTGGAGATTAGGTTGCCGAATCAGCCCAAACCTCCACTGAATAGAATCAGAGACCGAAGCTTCACACAGCCCTAATAAGAATTACCACTTGTATTTCCTAGTCCAAGGTGTCCCCTTATTCTAAAAATACCCCAGTGCAAGAATACTACACAGTTGTTGCTAAGCTACATTCTCAGTCACTACAATACTGGTCTTGCACACTGTGTCAAGGTCAAAGCAACTGTTTTTCTACTGTAATGCTGAAAAGTTTATAGTTCTGTTTATAAAAAAAAGTTCTCCTTCTCCTACTTTGTAACATACGCCATATTAAATTTGCTAATAGGTGGCCAGCATCTACCAAAGCTAATACTCTGGAGAAGATGAACAACAAAAGGCAACTAACATGATTTTTAACATTTTCTCTTTTCTGTTTTATTATTCAGCTTTATTTTTAACCAGACCCATTAGTGTTGGATCCAAGTGCCTTGCAAAGTCATATCAACCTTAATGGTGATTTACCAACAGACCTGAGATCTCTCCCTAGTCCCAACACAGCAAATACTAAGGAACTTAATCAGTCTAGTGATTACGCTCATACTCCACTCAACCAATCCCAACAGCAGGCAAATTTTTAATGTTAATAACATTATTATGATTACTGTTAATAACCACAATAATAGTAATCTGTGCCTCTAATTAGCATTTTGGGAAAGGAGGAACAAGGGGAGTTTTAATACCCTAAAATGATCTGCAGTTTGGTTCCCTTCTGTTTCTTATGGAAGGTGTTGCACAGCAAAGGCCTGTCTCTGGCTCCTACTAGTTTATTGAATGCCTTATCACCCCTAAGGAAGGCAGTTGCATAGACTTTTAAATAATGGAATAAATTTTACAGGTAAAGTAGGCAATTATAAAGCACTTCCTCTGCTGCTCTTATAGCACAGCTACAACAATTAATCAAATAATTTTTAAAGATTCAAGTAGAACCTTTGTTGTTTACAAACCTCAAATTGAATGCCATCCCAAAAAAATCTCATATGACTGTGACTAACAGCAAAAATAAATGTAGGCAAGATGGAAAGATTACCAAAATAAACAATAAAACAAAGACAGGAATGCAACAGAATATACCAATCACATACATAGTTACGTACATTTCTAATAGGAATCATACTACTGGTAAACAGAGATTACAAAAGCCCAGGTTATTACTGAAACAAAATATGATTAGCCAATATTGACATTAAACTAAGACAATAGT